CCTTTTCTCTCTCTCTTTTTTTTTTTCCCCTTTCTCTATTTCTCTTTCTCTCTGTAACTCTCCCTTTCAAATGAATAAATACATCTTTGAAAAAAGAGAATTCAGAATTTTAGGTAATCAGTCACCTAGTGAAATATTTTTAGCACAAATGGATGATAAATATCATTTACTTTACTTTGTTGTCTGTGACCAATAATGATAACTGCCCCCCAAAATACTATTTTTCCATGTCAAAAGAGTTTATGGGGCAGGTATTTAGCCTAGCAATTAAAGTTGCTAGTGAAGATGTCCACATTCCATATCAGAGTACCTGGGTTCAATCCCTGGCTCCAGCTCTTGAATCCAGATTCCTGCTACTGTGGACTCTAGGAGACAGCAGTAATGGCTCAGGTAATTGGGCTCCTGCCACCCACGTGAGAGACCTGGATTGAGTTTCCAGCTCCTGATTTTGGCCTCAGCCCAGCTTCAGCTGTTGCAAGCATTTGGGGAGTAAACCAGGAGGTGGGAGTTCTGGGTCTATGTCTCTCTTTCTCTCTATCTCTCCTCCATTTCTCTCTCTTCTGAAATATCTTTGAAATTTTTTTCAATAAAAGAGCTGACAAAACTCAACTCAAAAACTAAACATTTAAAATATACCAACCTGTCTTTTTTTTTTTTTTTTTTTTTTTTTTTTTTGGACAGGCAGAGTGGACAGTGAGAGAAAGAGAGACAGAGAGAAAGGTCTTCCTTTACCATTGGTTCACCCTCCAATAACCGCTGCGGCAGACGTGCTGCAGTCGGCACACCGCGCTGATCCGAAGCCAGGAGCCAGGTGCTTTTCCTGGTCTCCCATGGGGTGCAGGGCCCAAGTACCTGGGCCATCCTCCACTGCACTCCCTGGCCACAGCAGAGAGCTAGCCTGGAAGAGGGGCAACCGGGACAGAATCCAGTGCCCCGACCGGGACTAGAACCTGGTGTGCCGGTGCCACAAGGCAGAGGATTAGCCTATTGAGCCGCGGCGCCGGCCCTAACCTGTCTTAGGAAGCCATTTTGGTGCTGTGACAGATAGCTAAATGGGTCTATAAAAGAATTTTTCCTGGTGCATCAAACAACACCGGAGGCTATTCATAATAACACAAACACAGGAAAATAGTCTTCCCAGATAATGATCTGAAATCTTTGCAATGATTCTCAGTGCAGGAAGTTGAGGAATTTTCCAACACAGCAAAATCCAGTGAGTATTATCTATACAGTGTATTAATGATCTTTTGAAGGCACGAAAAGCATGTGAGGAGTCCACAGATTTACCATTATTGAAATGCCCTTTCACCCCATCAGTTCATGAAGATGAGTGATTAGACCCCTGCTTGATTGATGATTGAGTCCACAGCACCCATCTAAGGAGCGTGCATACAGTAAGGGTAGAAGTGGTATTTGTTAAATGCTAAGCTATTGTCTTAGCTTTATATCCATTGAAATTCTCATGCTCACATCTACAACAAAACAGTTCAAAAAATATAACTTTGTTCATAAATCAGCTTGCCTTAAGATTCTTCTATTTCTGTTTGAATATGAAAATCTTTTCTCCTCGGATATGGATTTAACAATGGATATCTTCTGTCACATTAATCAAACTGACATCACATGTTATGAAACACTGAGAAAAACACAGACTCCCTTCCTACATCCCCCCAAAAAAGCATAGACTATAAAGAAACAGACCGAACCAAGCTGAGGAACGTTCCACAAAGAAACTGGCTTTCTATCTTTAAAATGTCATGCTATATTAAACACAAAGAAAGACTGAGGAATTGCTCCACACCAGAGGAAATGAAAGCCATGGCATTCTATAATCCCTGGCCAAATGTTGCACTTATAAAGGATGCTATGGGCATTTTGCAAAATCTGGAATGAGGTCTATGGAGAAGATGGTCATATTATATCAATGTTGATGCACTTGCTGGTTTAGATGGTGTATACTGTGGTTATGGAGGAATGTGATTTTAAATGAGTGGGCACCACAACCATTTACCATCCTGGATCTGAGGCACAAGTAGATTAGAGTAATGGGCAACTTAGATACGAGTCTCGGGTTTCAGTTGCCTGCAAACTATCCATCATGAAAAGATTGACAACCTAGCATTATGTGTTGACACTGAAATAGAATTCCAAGATGAGCAGTAAAAGGGACCTTTAAGAGCCAAAGACAGGAAGCATAGAGAATTCAAGTGTGGGTTAAAAGAGCTCAAAAAGGCAGTTACCCTATTTGGTCTTGCATTTGGGGAGCAACCAATGTTACCAAATGTGACAGGCATAAAGTGAGTCTAATGGCTTTATCATATTTGTTATCAGGAAACCAGAATTCTATTACTGATTTCAGTAGAAACTAATTATAAACACCAGTCCATAACAAAGAGGAACAAAATATTGATACGTTCTACAACAGGATGACCCCCCAAAACCATCATGGGTAACGAAAGATGTCACATAACTTATGATTCTACTTATGTGAATTGTCCAGAAAAAGCTAAACTATAAAGTGGACCAGTGATGGACTGGACTGGGGGTAAGAATGGGAACTAACCGTGAACTGCTCCATGCCTCGATTTTCTCATCAGATAGATAGTGACAATTAGAGCATCTGACTCTTAAGGGTTCTGTGAAGATCAGATGAGTTAAAAATAGGTTGAAAGCTTAGAGCAATGTGCTGCACTAAGGGCTGAGGTTGTACACACACACACACACACACACACACACACACAGCTTGGAAATATGGAAGATAAATTTCAAGTCTAATTTAATACACCTCACAGTGAAACTTGGGGCCAGCTTGTGGTGCAGTGGGTTAAGCCACAGTCTGTGATGCTGGCATCCTATATGAGAACTGATTCAAGTCTTGGCTGCTCTGCTTCCAATCCAGCACCCTGCTAATGTGCCTGGGAAAGCAGAAGAGGCCCATGAGCTTGGGCCCCTGCCACTTGCGTGAGAGACCCAGATGGAGCTCCAGGCTCCTGGTTTCAGCCTAGCCCAGACCTGGATGTTTTGACCATTTGGGAAATGAATCAGTAGAAGGAAGCACTCCCCCTCCCCCCACCCCCTGCCATAGCCCTGCCTCTCTGCCTTTCAATTAAATAAATCTTTTTTTAAAAAATGAAACTTGGTTATACCTTCATATAAATAAATCTGAGAAGAAATTTACTACAACGTGCATGTAATAAATTATAAATATAGAAAAAAATACAGGTTTTTACTTATCCAAAGATTCAGCAATAAACTATACTACATGCTAGACCCATTTCCTTGAATCAAGATAAAAAGCTTAAGACACTATGGGTAAATTCTTAAAATATAAAGTACAGGAAAAAAGGAAAACATACTAAATTACCTGGTTACATCCCTCACGGGTGTAGTTAAATAAAGTACAAAGAAATGCTGAGGTTGGTCTTCCCCAACCTCCCTCCATCCCTTCTGATCTTCTTAGGTTGGCATTTTGGTGTGAAATTCACAGGATTTTTTTAGTATTTTCTACTCTTTTACTGAAAACAGATTTCCATTTCACTCTAGTAATATTTATAAAGATTAGGGTGGTGAGGCATTTGGTTGAGTGGGTAAGGATCCACTTGGGACCTTGCATGCTGTTATCAGTGTGCCTGGGTTTGAGTCCTGACTCCACTCTGACTCCAGCTTCCTGTTAATAAGTGCCCTGGGAAGCAGCTGGTGATGGCTGAAGTGCTTGGATTCCTGCCACCCACAACCAAATGAGTTCCTGGCTCCCATCTTCCAACTGGTCCAGACCAAGGTGATGCAGGCATTTCGACAATGAACCAACAGATGAGATTTCTGTCTCTCAAATAACTTTATAAAAACTTAAATAGGATATCGTTTATCCTGTCAATAATATCCCAACACATTCTGGAAGCCAGTAAAACTGGGGACAAACACACCTGTCTCACTGATATACGAGGGGAATCTCAAAAGTTCATGGAGGAGGCAAGCATTCAGCCTACTGGTTAAGATGCCCACATCCCACATCATACTTGGGTTTGATTCCTGGCTCTGGCTGCCAGCTCCAGCTCCCTGCTAATGCACTTCCTAGAGGGTAAGGGTGATGGTTCAAGTAACTGAGCTCCTGCCACCCACGTGGGAGGCTTTGCTTGAATTCACAGCTCTTGGCTTTTGTGTGGGGCTGGTGTGTGTGGCCCAGTGGTTTAAGCTGCAGTCTGTGTGATGCTGCCATCCAATATCAGAGTACCAGTTTGAGTCCCAGATTCTCCACTTCTGGCCCAGTTCCCTGCTGATGTGTCTGGAAAGACAGCAGATGATGGTCTGAGTGATAGGGCCTCTGCCACCCAAGTGAGAGACCCAGATGGAGTTCCTGACTCTGGCTTGGCCTAGCCTCAGCTGTTGAGGCCATTTGAGGAGTGAACCAGCAGGTGGAAGATTTGTGTCTCTCCCTCTGTCACTCTGCATCCCAAATAAGTAAAATAAATCTTTTTTTTAATGTTCATTTTTCCATAACTTTTTTTTAACTTTTATTTAATGAATATAAATTTCCAAAGTACAGCTTATGGATTACAATGGCTTCCCCCCATATTTCCATAACTTTTCAAAGCCCCCTCCCTCATTCAACTCTCCATGTTTTCTTATCTTTTCTAACATATGCTGGGGTCTTGGAGGCAGCAAATTTCTCCCTTCCCCAGCAGGTGTCGAATAGTAATCCAGGTACTGCCTCCTCGACTAAGCCCTATCATGGGTCCTTTCAATACATGCTCACAAAGAGCAAAGCTGCTAATTTACTGCTGTACCACACAAATGAACAGCTGTTTTATTCTAATCCTTTGAAATAACTACTGCATTGAATATAATCTGTACCTCTTTGGTTAAACTATTTTCTCACCAGCATCAATATTGATATTCTCCTATTTATTCTCTCTCAGACCATTTACAAAATGTACTTCAGTTTTTGTTATTCACTGATCATTTGAGCATTTTTGGAAAAAAAACTTCTCACACGATGAGAGTGTAGACACAAATTTCAATATTTAATAAGCTTTATCTTGATAACTTCAAAAACAAGTTTACCTTTTAAATTGCATTATAAAAAATACATTAAGCTTCACATTAGTTTTACATGGAAATATATAATTATTTGAATATTTAAATATAATTTTTCTTTAAGCAAAAAAAAGTGCTACTCATAGCCCTAGTTACATAAATAATTTAAATGCACAAATGCAAAAACACACTTTACACAATATTGTTTCACATACTTTTTAACTCAGGACAATTACAATAAAAATCTATGCAAGATACCAAACATGGACAAGGTTAATAAAATACTCATTATGGTTGTAATTAGACTTTTTACTATTAAAACAATATGATGCATTCTTGAGCACACAAAAACACCAATTGTTTTATCTAACCTGCAAATTAAGCCAACATTTATTTAGACAAAGGGGCACATCCTGTATACTATCAAATTCTGAAAGAAATTCCTTTCCAACTTGACTTACTTTCAATTTTTCAAGCTTTCCTAAAATAATAGTTACAACAACTTAGAATAGCATTTCCAGAATGTTAATCAGTATCATCAGTCCCATATTATACTTTAGTATTTTCAGTAATGTAAATTTTAAATACAAACCTGTCACCCTGAAAATGGTACTTAAAAGAGCTTCCAATGTGAAAAAGGTAGTACATTTTTCTAACTTTAAATTTTGATCTCTTGAATGGTAAGAATTGTCATCTGTGTGTGACACCATCACAACAGATGTGATACATTATATTTACAGAATTATTTCCATATGAAATCTTGTTTTCAAACTTACACTGGAAGAATGTCTATTAATTTGAGAGTCTTCAAAAAGGTCATGGAAAATGTTTATAATGAAAAAGCTATGTTTGGATCTCAAAAAATTTTTGCACCAAAATAATCTTATCTTCTAATTCCATTTTCCAAGAACTTTTTGAAGTTCCCTTGTAGTACCTGAGGGAACTGTGTTGATTCAATAGGAAAAAAGATATCAATAACCATAAATAGAATACTTTTACACAGTGAGCTATTTACTTCCTGATAAGTGGGCCAGAACTTACTTACTAAATTAAAATTGCAGAATTATTCTGGACTAGTGGCCCACAGTGATATTTTAAGTAAATTAAAATGTTTGTATAGAAGGAGACATAGTTGAAGGAAATGCTATATGTGTTGTTTGGCAACTAAAAAGATAAGCACTTGCTCATTTTTTCAACATAATTACTGCTTAAATTTAGAAGAAATTACAACACAACACCATCATAACACACCCACAGGTTAAGTAATGGCCCCTGAAATAAAATCACATTTAGAAACAAACCATTACACTATATTCATTAATTTTAAGGTAACACATTTTTTATCTCTGAAATCAAGATACATTTTAACACTGACTGTAGTTTCAATAAAATATGGTAGTCACACAATAGAGTTGAAATTCACATTTCGCTTTAACATTGATGACAGAAGAAAAGCCAAGATCTTAGCTTACCAGTGAGTGGACGCATCTGTACTAGCTCAGCCAGTGTCTCTGAATAAAGAATCTGAAGATATTCCGAGTATCCCAGATGCAAACTGCGTATCTCAACATCTTTCACTTGAATTACCAAAATCAGCAAGTTCAAGACAAATTAATGTGTTCCACTTGCAAAATGAGCCTCCACTTAGGTGATCAATTTTATTCAATTTTTTGAGATATTACATGACTTACTAAAGACTAAAAAAAAAGTAGGCTGCCCAAGTAATATTATCAAACCAATAATTTCAGATTAGACACTTAAAAAATGATTCCATGATGTCTAAAATATTTTTAAGAGATAAGAGAATAAAATAATACGGATTTTCAAACTAAGCCAACAATCCTTCACAAAAAAGGCCATAAATGTAGTTAAAAAGACCTATCCACATTGGCAACATGATTCTCCCCACTATGATCTAATAATACTAAAGGAAATCTACTGAGATGTGTGTGGGTGAATGTGTTCAAATGGAGAAAGTTAGACTTGCAGATTCAATTTAAATGAAGGAGGAATTTGTGTTATGTTTATAAAATCACCAGGCACTTTAAAAACTTGATTAAAGATTACGAAAATCTCATTTTCTGGAATAACTTTAAAAGAGAAAGACAAATTATATTTTAGTTATGATCTCTTAAGTCAACCTCACTCAAAGGCTGAGATAATTCAATATAGTTCCTTCTTTTTAATATCCAGTTAGAACGTTATCTTGACAATGACACTCTGAAACCAGAATGCACGTACATACGCATTTGTTCCAATCTTTAAAAATAAGGGCATTTTTAAGTTTACCATATTCATTCTCACAATGGTATAACTTGCTGGTATGAGAATGATTGTCATAAAAAATAAGTAAGACAGGATCTGATGGACAAAATTCTATATGTGCTAAATTATGACAAATTAAGATGAAGATCTTCTACAGAAAATGTTGGACAGAAGTTGTTTTCAAATCTTAAAGAAAAGGACCCTAAATACTAATTTTTAAATGAATATAAAAGTTCTGAAAAATAAAATCTATAGCAAAATATTCAAGGTTTTCCCACCAAAGCTGGGAAAGCTATGTGCACAAAGTACCAAATATATTTCAATTGAAGTACCGAATCCTCAACTAGCCTTCGACTTGACCTCACTAGTTCTCAATTTGTTTGCCAGCCGAGTCAGTATTCTATCAGAATCCGGGATGTAACACACACTTCTCAAATCATAGGGTCGAAAAACAACATGTTTTTTCTTTCTGCGACGGCAAGTTTTAAGACCATTATTCTTTCCTCCTGCTGTACTAGGAGAGGCCTGCACAGGCTGCTTCGGAGGACTTGCCGCAGCTCTTAACTGCACGTCAGCACCAACTGGTGGAGCTGGGGCATCCGAAAGCACCTCAGCGGGTCTCTCCACTGTCTCTGACCTATCCACAACAGACTGCTTCTTTTTAAGATGCATTGCCATAAAAGTGGCCCTGGATTGGTATTTACGACGCATAAAAACAGAGTACTTCGAAATATACTTTCTAATGATATCACTTGGTTTGGTCCGAATCCAAATGGACCGTTTTTCTGAAGCTATTCTGCTTTTATGCCGGAGAATAAATGGTTTATAAACCTTTTGGGGAAAACTTCTCTTATTACTTGGTGTCATCTTCTTTCCCTGACTTTTCTTTTTACTTTTGCTTGCTAAAAACTGACTTCTAACTGATTTGGGAGAGATTTGGGCAATACCACGATTTGAAAAAGTTAGCCGGAAACTACTTCCCTTTGGAATCTCACAATTCCCTAGGACCACAGAGCATTTACTGGTCCGCCGGCGTGACTTTAATCCATATCTTGCTGGCACTATCATGGAAGATGTTGAAGCAAAGCTCTGTACATTATCATCATCATCATCATCATCATCATCATCTCCTGTGAACTCTGGATCAGTTAGAGTTTGCTTTAATGAGGGGTCATCACAATGAATGGCATCCAGCCCACATGTGCATATACACTGCATATCATCACACCCCTCGGGACTCATGGTAGAGAGCTCAGAGCATTCACCTTCTTTCAGTTTATCATCTAGAGATGAAAGAACATGGACTAAGGCTTCGGATGATGTAGGCTTCGAATGTTTGGGGCATGATTCAGGAAATTCATCTGTCCCGATTTTGACTGTTGCTGTTGCTCTGCTGTCACTCTGTGAATGTAAATGCCTTCTTTTTGGTGATTCTTCCTCTTGGCTAACAATTTTCCTTTTCATCATTTGGTAATTTGTAAAATTGGTTTGCGTCGCATGGCTCACTTTCACTGCCCGGCACCGACATGCCACATGCCACAGCTGGTTGGTAAGCCTGTCTGCTAGAGGGTAATGAAAGCCTAGTCTATCAAAGTCCACTGAAAAGTCATCACTGTCAGAAAAACTCCCGGAAAAACTTCCAGAAAAACTACCAGAAAAACTACCTGTAGTGTCATCTGGCAGACCTTGAATTGATGCAGTGTCCTGATGAAGGTCAGGCAGGGTGTTTTTTTTTCCTTTATCCAAAACTTTTTTGGGCTCACAATCATCATCATTAAAGTAACAGCGGAAACGACCTTCCTTAAATTCCTTCACAAGGGCATCAACTTTTAGGTCATTTTCTCTTATTATCTGAGACCATGTTTTCCCCACAAAAGAAGGAGGCACATTAGGCAAGGCTTCAAGAACTGGTTCATCAGGATCGTCTTCTACGACCTCTTTTGCTTTTTCCAGCTGCTTTCCAGAACCACCCATGGGAGTGGAGCTGGAAGGGGAATCATAGCTATCCTCTTTCAGGTCAAAGGTTACCTTTTTAAGGCGGCCTTTCTTGCCAACAGCTTTTTGAGGCTGGTCAGAGTTAGACCGAAGAGAAGGACTGCCCTGAAAATCCTTCTCAGAGCCACAAGATTTCCTTCGCTTTTCCAGAGCTGTACACTTTAACTTCAAAAGGTCTTCTCTACCAGTTATCTGATTGGCCACTGATTCACAAGAGGTACCACAAACAACTGCACAATCACCAGATTCATTTTTTAGATCTTTCCAAAGGTTGCCTTCCTTGTCAGCTTTCTGCATTTGATGAGTCACTGGCTGAGACGTGCCTTTCATGTTAGAATTTCTTCTGGGACCATTAGCTCTCACCATTTTTTTATCAGGCCTTCGTGAGTGGCAAGCCACAGACAGGTCAGAGGCATCCACGTCACAATCTGTTTCAGAATCACAAGACTGGCAGCTTAAATCTCCCAGAATGATATAGTCATTCTTGCGGTTTATTATTTTGAAACTCTCCTTGGACTGCCTTCTCACTGACTGAGAACGGGCTTCACAAACATGTCTTACAGCAGAACCACAGGAGTCGTAGCAGTAATCGTCTACATTAATAGAGTCAGCATTTGCAGAGCTGAGTTCTTTGACAGCCCTGTGAAGTGGGTCATTCAGCAACTGAAGAGGCATGTGAGGATGAGAAATCACTTCACAATCACAATCACTATCACTGGTCATCAAGTCCACAAGTAATACCTCTGGATGATTTGTTTCTTTGTCTGACCCTTGACACTGGTTCACTACTATTTGAAAAGGGACATCAGAATCACACACCATTTCAGAATCACTAGGCTCACTCATCTTATCTTCCATGCTAATTTGCGCATCCTTCTGAAAGTTTGTCTCTTTGCAAGCCACTGGAGGTTGGTAGTCTGAATGAAGATGAACACCAGAATCACATTTTATTTCAAAGCCACAAGATTTATAGTTCTTATTTTCCGGGTCATTATGATACATCTTTTCTAAGTTCATTTCTTTGACAGACACAGGAGCCACAAACTGAACAGGAGCACCAGAATCACAATTTATTTCAAAATCACCTAGCTTATAGCTCTTATTTTCCAGGTAAATATGATCTTCCTTCCAAAGGTTCGGTTCTTTGTCTGTTTTTTGAAGCTGCTCAGCTGCTGACTGAAAATGATGATTGGAATCAAAACCTATTTCAGGACCACAAGGATCACTGCCCTTAATTTCCAAATTGGCACGTTCCTCTTCCAAAATATGTGGCTGCTCCATCACTGACTGAAGAGGCATATTTGAAACATAAAATATTTCTGAACCATCAGGTTCATAGCTCTTATCATGCAGACAAACATGTTCCTCCCTCAGAAGATTTGTTTCTTTAACAGGGTCTTGAATTTTATTAGTCACAGATTGAAGAGGTTCATCAGAATCAAAATTTATTTTAGAATCATTAGGTTTGACAGCCTTCTCTTCCAAGTCAACATGCTCTTTCTGAAGGCTGATCTCCTTAACTACTTCCTTAGTTTGGCCAATCACTGGCTGAAGGCCACCAGAATTACATATAACTCTAAAACCCTTAGCTTCATCCTTCTTATCTTCCCAGCCAACTTCATCCTTCCAGAAACTTCCTTCTTTAGCCGTTTCCATAGGCTGCTTACCCACAGGCTGATGAGGTTTCTCAGAATCAAAACTTATTGCAGAACCACAAGACTGACCGCGTTTTCCTTCCACCTCAATGTGCTCTGGCTTCAAAACAGTTACATGAGGTCGAGCAACTAGCGACTGAACCGAGAAATTAGAATGGGAACTCATTTCAGAACAACTATACTGGCTGCTCCTAATTTCCAAGTACTTATGATCTTTATTCTCATGGTTTATTTGTTTAACAGCTACTTGGGGTTGATCAGCTGCAGACAGAAGAGAAACATCAGAGCCGTGTTTTGAGCCATTAGGCTTATCAATCTTATTTTTAAGGCCAATATCCCCTTCATTCCACATATTGATTTTTTTAACTGCTTCTTGAAATTGTCCAGCCAATGGCTGATGGGGCTCAACAGAATCAAAACTTATTTTAGAATCACTAAGTTGCCTGTTTTTATCGTTTGGATCAGCATGTTTTGCTTTCAAAAAGGCTAGCTGAGATTGGCCAGTGACTGAATGAAGAGGGATACCAAAATCCATATTTACTTCAGAACCTCTGGGTTCAGTACTTCCATGATCTGAGTCCACACGGTCCTCCTTCCTAACAGCGAGTTGAGATTTTTTAGTCATTGACCAAGGCGAGAAACCAGGCTTCACCATTTTTTCAGAATCACTGTAATCACTCTCCTCTTCTTGAATATGCTTCTCTTTTCTCTTCCTTTTTCTACCAACTTCTTGAGGTTCAGTCACTGAATGAGGAACACTAGAATCTGAATTTGTTTTAGAACCATGAACATCAGCACCTTTACCTTGAAATATAGCAACCCTTTCTTTCTGAAGCCATTTTTCCTTAATGATTCCTTGAGCTTTTTGAATCACTGACTGAAGAGGGATGTTAGAACCAGAACGTGTTTCAGAAACACTTCCTTCATTACACTTATTTCCAGAGTGTGCTTGCTTTTCATTTGTAATGTTTAGTTCTTCAGTGGCTTCTTCAGAATGTCCAGTCACAGAATGGAAAAGAGTACCATAATCCAAACTTAGTTCAGAATTGGTACGTTCCTTTTCCTTATTTTCTAAAGGTACCTGCTCTTCTTTTTCAGGATTTAAGTTTTTAACAGCTACTTTAGGAGAATTAATCACTGAATGATGAGGGGCATACGAGTCCAAACTTATTTCAGAACCACTGGGTTCATCATTCTTCCTTTCTAAGTGTATATACTCTTCTTTCTGAATGATTACTTCTTTAACAGCTACTTCAGGTTGATCATTTCCTGAATGAAGAGGAATATTAGAATCAAAAGTTATTTCAGAAACACAAGGCTCATTACTTTTATTTTCCAGTTCAACAGGTTCCTTCTCATTAACAGCTACTTCAGGTTGGTCAACTACTGAGCAAAGAGGAATATCAGACTCAAAAGTTATGTCAGAACTATTTGACTCACAGCTCTCATCTTCCAGGTTAGCGCGTTCTTCTTTTAGTCTTTCAACATCCAGCTGACACAGATTAGAAACTGACAGAACGGGGGGATCAGAATCAAAAGTCAACTCAGAAGTGGAGGACCCACAGCTCTTAACTTCCATGTCAACATTTAACTCTTTAAGATTTACTTCACCCAAAGCCCCTTGAGGCTGATCATAAACTGACAGATAAGAAAACGCATGGGAATCAAAACTTATATTAGAAATGCTAGAGTGAACACTCTGATTCTCTAGGTCATTATCTATGTTTGGAGGGTTTACTTCGTTAACTGCTACTTCAGACTGGTCAGCCACAAATCGAGCATCAGCATGAAAACCCATTTCAGGACCATGAGACTCACAGTTCATATCCATAAGGTCAGCATTCTTCTCTTTCAGAAGATTGATCTCTTCAGCATCCCTCTGGGGTTCATCAGCCACTGCCTCAAGTGAAACATCGCTATGAAGATGCCTTTTAGCCTTTCTGGATTTCCGTTTCTTCTTTTTCAGGCGAGCATGTCTATGCTTCGATTTTTTTCCTTTGACAGTCAGTTGGGGAGGGTCAACTACTGACTGAGGAGGAACATCACAATCATAACTTGCTTCAGAACAACTCGATCCATAGTTCTTATCAACCAACACAACATGAGACTTCTTCCAAAGTTTTGTTTCTGTGACAATCACTGGGGGACGGTCAATCACTGACTGACGTGGGAAAACAGTATCAGCACTTACTTCAGAGCTACTAGATCCATAGTTCTTATCAACCAAAGAAAAGGGCATCTCATTAGGAAGGTCTTCTTCTTTTACAGACTGCATGGGGTAGTCACTAGTTGTCGGGAGTGAGGCATCACAATCAAAATTCATTTCAGAACCACTAGAGTCATAGCTTTGGTCAACCAGGCTAACAGGCTTTATATTTTGAAGACTTTCACCTCTAACAATCACTTGAGATTGGCTAGTACCCACCTGAGGAGAGTCATCACAATCACAACTTAATTCAGAAACATAAGGTTTAATATTCTTATACTGTAAGTCAGAATATAATTTCTCTGAAAGATTTGTTTCTTTGGCAGCCACTTTAGATATACTAGTCAGTGAATGAAAAAAGGAACTGCAATCAAAACTCGTTTCAGAACCTCTAGATTCTTCCTGATCAATTCCATCCTCCTTCCATAGATTTACGCCTTGAACAGCCTCCTGGGGCTGATCAGAAACTGACCGGACAGAGTCACAGTCAAACTTCATTTCAGTACTCATTGAGCCCTTCTGTTTCAAAATCACTGACTTGCTAAAACCCAAATGCTTTTCTTCTTCAGTACAATCCATATTAGAAAAGAATTCCTCCTGATGCCTTGGAATGGCATCTTCAAAGATCCCTACATTAGAAGGCATGTCAGTTACACTCAAGTTCTGTGCTGGGTTTGCTGCTACTTCAGGAAATTCAGCTCTTTCAGAGCTCTCAGCACCCATAGATTCATGGGATTTAAAGCCACCTGATGAAGTTTTTCCCTGTGATTTTAAACCTTTCTGTGTGACCAATTTATCTGAATTTACACGTAAAGATTTCCTATTTGATTCTTTATGTTTCTCATATGAAACTGAAGACGTTTCTAGGTTGGATGATGACCTAATATTTCTAGAAACCCCATCTGATGGTACATCGTATTTTCCAGGTTTGTTTGGGTCACATTTGCTAGCTGAACCCATTTGTGCTGCTAGCGGTAACCTAGTCATTTTAGTTATAACTGGTCTAGTACAAGAACTTTCAGGGAGACCACGAGCGGGGGCATTACAAATCACTGGGTGTCGGATTAAGCTTTTGCCTTTATTTGTAGCTTGACCAGTATCTACTGGATTAAACTTTTTCGTGCTACTCTCAACCTTAGGAACAAACACCAAAGACTGCTGCTGTCCCTTTTCCAGCTTTTGTATAACCGATGGTCGAACTGAGACTTCCTCTCCATGTTCCAGGAGTTTACTGGGTCTGGAATGGGACTCTTCAGCAGGTTCAGAACTCTCAGAGGGACTCTCTCTGTGGGGTGCAGCTGCATCCTCAGCCTTTTCTTCAGGAATAGACTCATCCATATGCACCGTATCAGGTGGTACATCAGTATTCGTAGGTGCTTCATTTTGCATTGATCTAAGAAAGATCAGGAAAAAAAAAAAACATAAAACATTCTGATATTTGTTTACAACGTTAAATAAAAGCTGTCACAGCTGCTGCTCTCTTTCTATTATGGGCCATCCTTAGAGAGCCAAGAATCAAGGCAATCTTATCAGGCTCTCTACTGTATGTACTCTAGTGAGGTCACGAGCAGCCCCACCAACTGCCACTGAATAAACACAACAAAATGCAAATAAAACCAGGCATCATTTTTCAGTTATCAAGGTTAGAAAAAATTTGACACAATTAATTAACATTGTATGTCTCAGTTTCTGCTTCTGGAGAAAGGGAATGATCATACTATTTTCCCTAATAAGATTGTTTTGAGAAATAAATTAGCTATTATTTGTAAAGATTGTTAAAGAGAAAACAAAGCCTGGCACATGGTAAACATTCAGAAATGTCAGCTACTATTATTTTCACATATTGTTCTGGCAAGGGTGTAAGGGCACAGGCACTTTAATATACTGCTGGTAGGAGTATGGATTAAGTAATGCATATGAAGATTATTAGTTAACCTCTTTGTAAATTTGTCACCTTGATAAAAAGCAATTTGGCAATGCCTACTGAAATTTAAAATGTACATCCCTCTGACCTGATGATTCTACTTTTAATTTCCTCATATGTTTAATGAGGAATATTTAAGAACACTCATTGCCTTTTACTTCTAATAGCAAATGAGCAGAGTCCATCTGGGTACTAGTTAAATCATCCACAGCATTTAATATGATATAATTTAGCTTTTAAAAATAATAAGGCAGGTCTACATGTACTAATAAAATCAAACACTATAAACATTGCTAGTGAAAAACAACTGTATATGAATGCTACCATTTATGTAAAATAGAAGGAAAAATATACACTTATAACAGTATAGTATGCATGTGTCTTTTGAATTATGTCCATGTGCTTATATACTTACCATTCAAATTTTGAACTATATTACTTTTTTAAAAGATCTAAAATTTTCATATCTAAAATCAGTCTGGGAATCTCTCCTACCAGCATTAAGACAACATGCTTGATTTAAAGCATTTTAGGGGTAGCTCATTCATATATATAACCTGCTGACCTAATGATACTGCCACTTCCTGAATTCATAACTCAAAACAGGCAAAAATTCAGTCATCAATAACCACCTACTAAGGATTTAGTACTATGTGACAGGTTCTATGCTAGATACTGATACAAATTCCAAGACAGATAAGCTGTCTCCCAGGGAGCATTCATGCATCAGCAGAAAGTAATACAAAAAATAATTACAACTCAAAGTGAGAAGCATTATCATATCTAGACCCATTAAAAAGGAGATTAAACCGTCACAGCCCAAAGGAGCCTAAAACTTGACAAGTTAATGTCATATGCAATCCTGGATAGGATCCTCACACTGAAAAAGAGGTAAACTAGAAGATTTTTGTTTAGGAAAACTTAATTTAGGTAAAAATAAGGAAATCTGAATAAACCATACACTTTAATGTATTAATATCAGATCATTTCTTAAAACAAATGTACCATATTAATGTAAGATGTTAATAACAGAAAAACTAGGTAGAGAAATAAAATCTATCTCCACTATCTTCTCAATTTTTCTGTGAGTTTAAAAGTATTCCTAAAAATAGACTACAAAAATTATAAAAATAAAAACAGATTAAAGAGAGGCTGGCACTATGGCAAAATGGGCCGAGCCTCCCCCTGTGGCACCAGCATCCCATGTGGGTGCTGGTTCTAGTCCGGCTGCTCCTCTTCCAATCCAGCAATGAAGGATGGCCTAAGTGCTTGGGTTCCTTCACACACATGGGAGACAGGGAAGAAGCTCCTGGCTCCTGTCTTCAGATCAGCCCAGCTCCAGCTACTGTGACCACTTGAGGAGTGAACCAGCAGATGGAAGACCTTTCTCTCTGTCTCTCCCTCTCTCTGTCTGTAACTCTACCTCTCAAATAAATAAATAAAACCTTTAAAAAAAAAAAAAAAAAAAAGGTAGTTCTTAGGGCCAGCACTGTGGTGCAGTGGATCAATGCTGTGGCCTAAACTGCTGGTATCCCATATGGGTGCCAGTTCGAGACCCGGCTGCTCCACTTCCCATCCAGCTCCCTGCTATGGCCTGGGAAAGCAGTAGAAGATGGTCCAAGTCCTTGGGCCCCTGCATCCACATGGGAGATCTAGAAGAAGCTCCTGGCTCCTGGCTTCAGATCAGCACAGCTCCAGCCATTGCGGCCAACTGAGGACTGAACCACTGGATAGACGACCTCTCTCTCTCTCTCTCTCTCTCTCTGCCTCTCCTCTCTCTGTGTAACTCTGACTTTCAAATATTAAATAAATTTTTTAAAAAAAGGTTATTCTTTGAAAAATGATTTAAGAAACCTTTCTTAAATATTTTGGATTTGAAAAAAGCCTCATTTGTCTAAAAGAACATGTGTATGTATATATGTGATATATATATGAAGTGTCAGTAACATGCAACTCTTCTTCTAATGTATCATAAGTATTAATTTTATTCCCCATATAAATGTATTAACTTAATTTGAATTTGGAAAATAGAAAAATTAATTCTAGCATCAATAATAGTATAATGATGGGGGTAAAAATCCATACATTCTCATATGACAGAATTCTAATCAATGAAAATGCCATGCAATAATCACTTTACTCTAGGTTTTCCAGAATCCTAGACTATTTTCATTTGTCTTGAGGACTATAACACGATTCTCAAAACAAAATAAATTTTGTAATGGTTGTCTAAGAAAACAAAGGAAAGAAAGACAAGGAGAGAAAGCAGAGTCATAAAACCAAACAAGCTGATAAAAGTCCTAAACAGTTGGGAACTGCCATCTCAATGCTTTCATTTGCACCTACATTTGCATGAGTTTATGTTTAAGACTTATAACTTGCTACAGATTAACTGAATTTCAAGTTTTGTCCGCAGGGCCAGACCAAATGATTTCATGGGTCTTCTACAACCCGCAGGCCAGATGTTCCCCATCCCTGATGTAAAGCTTTTTTTCATGGTAAAACTGTGATGAATAGTATAATAACTATTTCAGGGAAGAATCAAGAGATGCTTAAAGTAAGTGGGTGATATTTACAGTCTCAAAATTCTTCCCCACAAGATTCTCATTAACTACACCTAGAAAAACAGTAACTTCGGAGTGGAGTAACTTGCTAGATACCACCTTAATCAAGCGACTCAAGTTAAAACCATCAGCAATGGGTTATGGCAAAATATCTGTCTGTTGATTCATACACTGAGAAGGTCACAACATCAACTCTGAGATTTTCTCAAGATACATAATCTAAGTTAAACCATGAGAAAACAACAAGCAGGTCTAAATTTAGGGACATCCCATACAATAACTGCCCAGAACTCTTTTAAAAAGTCTTATAAGCAAAGGAAGACTGAGGAACTGTTCAAGATTAAGGAGAATAAAAAGATAAGACAACTAGATACAATGTGTGATCCTACATTGGATCTGTTCTGGACAAAGGACATTATGAGGACAACTGACGAGGTCCCATAAGGTTTACAGATTCTTGAGTAGTATGCTATCAGCGCCTTTTACTGTTGTTGACCACTGTAGGGTAGTTATTTTAGATTCAATATTCAGGGAAGCCAGGTAAAGGTAACACAAGAATTTCTTATACCAGTTTTGCAATGTTTTCATAAGCCTGAATTTTTTTCCAAATGAAAAGTAAAAAAATATAAAAACTTTTTTTTTTTTTTTTTGACAGGCAGAGTGGACAGTGAGAGAGAGAGAGAGACAGAGGAAAAGGTCTTCCTTTACTGTTGGTTCACCCTCCAATGGCCGCCACGGCCGGCGCACCACACTGATCTGAAGCCAGGAGCCAGGTGCTTCTCCTGGTCTCCCATGCGGGTGCAGGGCCTAAGGACTTGAGCCATCCTCCACTGCCTTCCTGGGCCACAGCAGAGGGCTGGACTGGAAGAGGGGCAACCGGGACAGAATCCGGCGCTGCAACCGGGACAGAATCCGGCGCCCCACCTGGGACTAGAACCTGGGGTGCCGGCGCCGCAGGCGGAGGATTAACCTACTGAGCCGCGCGCTGGCCTATAAAATCTATTTTTAAAGGTTTAGAAACTGACCCAGAGTTCAAATTCTAGGAACGCATACCACAGATATCGCTGCACTGGACAAACATAGTTTTTGAAAGCACTGCATATTGAGAGTTATAAACTGACAACTAATACTGACTCCATGATAGGCTAATTCTATTTTTCCACCAGATAAGAAACCTTATTTTTTGCCTCTAACTTCTCCATTACAACACTTTCACCATTTCTAAATTCTAGGTTAGAAGCTTATCCCTCTTTGACTACTGGTGTGCCTCCTGGCTAACACAGCACAGAGGTGCTAATGATTTTACCTATCCTGTATGGCCAGAGTGGCAAACACACTGTAGTACTTAATCTCATTTTCTAAAAATATGGGATATCAATTCTTAAATATTATCCAAATATTTACTATTTAAATAACTAAAATAAATTTATACAAGCAAAAGGTATAAAGATATTGACAGATTATAGTCAATTCTACTTGACACTTTTAGCAAACAGATCCAGTAAAGTAACTTATTTTTTACTTTTGTTCACTCTGCTCTTGTCACTAGCTTTTCTGTTACTAATCTTTTGAAAACATTTTGCTCTCACCTTTTTTCCTCTGCTATGACATACTTATAAAACACCTCATTGACACATAATTATCTGTTGGACTAAGACTAGAAAACTTAAAATTGTAAAGGGAAATTACTGCCGGCGCCGCGGCTCAACAGGCTAATCCTCCGCCTTGCGGCGCCAGCACACCGGGTTCTAGTCCCGGACGGGGCGCCAGATTCTGTCCCGGTTGCCCCTCTTCCAGGCCAGCTCTCTGCTTTGGCCAGGGAGTGCAGTGGAGGATGGCCCAGGTGCTTGGGCCCTGCACCCCATGGGAGACCAGGAGAAGTACCTGGCTCCTGCCATCGGATCAGTGCAGTGCGCCGGCCACAGCGCACTGGCCGCGGTGGCCATTGGAGGGTGAACCAACGGCAAAAGGAAGACCTTTCTCTCTGTCTCTCTCTCTCACTGTCCACTCAGCCTGTCAAAAAAAAAAAAAAAAAAAAAAAAAAAAGGGAAATTACTACCTAAAATGTCATTTTGTATTTCTTGATTCAAAGATTCACTTCAAAAAGCATTGGAACTTCAACACTTCAGCTTCTACTGTAGCATGTAATTACCGAGTAATATTATTCCACTCAGCTACTTTACCTGTTTTCTTGATAGTTATACGGGTGGTGCCGCAGTACATCCTGCAAGAAGCGTTCCATCAAACTACTGGTACACATCTGACGTCTGCTCTGTCTGGTCAAGCTTCTGTGCTGAGCACTGAACAAATGCTATGAATAAAAAGGAAATGGAAAGTTTTTAAATTGGTAATACTCAGTAGGAGTGACAGTTTCACGAAGTGGATTCATATACTCCCAGTAGAAATATACGTTGATACCTTCTCTACAAAGCAACTCCAAAACATGCATCTAAAAACCATGATAAAAAAAAAGTAAAATAAATAAATAAATATCATGAAAGTATCTCTCCCTTAGATGTAGTCATTGCAGTTCTCTAAACAGATCCTAAGGAAATTATTTTAAATGTGGATAATTTTCACAAAACACAATGCCTATCAGAGCATGATAACAAAGAACTGGAAACTCCTTAGGTGTTTAACAATAAAATCCTTAAATTATGCCCTACAATATAATACATCTAACTAAAATAACACACAGTAAGTGCTGTGGCATGGTGGGTTAAGCCACTGCTTAAGATGCCCACACTGGGGCCAGCACTGTGATGTATCAGGTAAGGCCTCTACCTGCAGTGCCGGTATCCCATGTGGGGTCTGGTTCAAGCCCTGGCTGCTCCTCTTCCAGTCCAGCTCTCTGCTAACGGCCTGGGACAGTGGTGGAAGACGGCCCAAGTCCTTGGGCCCCTGCACCTAAGTGGGAGACCCTCAGGAGGCTCCTGGCTTCAGATCAGCTCAGCTCCAACCATTGTGGTCATTTGGGGAGTGAACCAGTGGAGAGAAGACCTCTGTCTCTTTCTCTGTCCCTGCCTCTCTGTAACTCTGCCTTTCAAATAAATAAATAAATCTTAAAAAAAAAATTGCCCACATCCCAGGTAAAAGTGCCTGTGTTCTTATCCCAGATACTCCATGGTTCCAATCCCATTTCCTGCTAATGCACCTAGAAAATCACGGATGATGGCCCAAGTATTTATGTCCCTGTCACTCATGTGGAAGACCTGAATGCAGTTCCTGACTACTAGCTTCAGCCTAGCCTAGCCTAGCCCTGGTTGTTGTGAGCATATTGGGAGTGAACCAGCAGATCAAAGATCTCTGTTTCTCTCTCAGTCTCTGTGTCCTTCCTACTCTTTCAATTTAAATTGCATGGTATTCTGGGTAGCATGATGAAAATTCACAACATCCCATTCCGGAGAGGGAGCAGGAGATGGGAGGGTTGCAGGTGGGAGAGAAGTTATGGGGGGGGGGGGGGGGGCACTGTAATCCAAAAGCTGTACTTTGGAAATTTATATTTATCAAATAAAAGTTAAAAAAAATCCCATTCCATCTCACTCACGATCTAATTCATCCATTTGTTGAGCATATCCACACCATATATGCTACCCACCTACCAGTCACTTAGTAACTGTCTTTGGTATCAGATCAACTATTACAGGATCTCAGTGTTTGCATTCAAGAAACACTTATTTTACTAAATAATAGCCCTAAAGCACAAGAGTAATGATGCTGATAATTCAGATATGCCCAAGGGAAGTTATAAGGTGCTTCCTTTAAGAGTTAATGCAGTACAAGATATTCTGGGAGAAAAAGAGAAATCATATTCACATATCTTTTATTACAACTTATTGTTAAAATTGTTCTATCTTGACATCTCTTACTGTACCTAATTTATAAATGAAACCCTATCATAGGTATACATATATAGGAAAACACAACAGAATAAGGATATAAAGAAAGAAAATGTTTTTGTACAGCTATACAATGTATGTTTTAAGTTAAGTGTTATTATTACAAAAAAGTCCAAAACAGTCATGTGTTGCTTAACGTTGGGGAAACATTCTGAGAAATGCTACTGGTTGCCTTCATCCTATTCCATGTTTGTGCAAATGTCATTATACAAATCTAGACAGGACAGCCAACCACTAGATACCTACAATACACTGTATAACCCATTGCTCCCAGGCTGCAGACCTGTACAGCATGCTACTCTGTTGAATACTATAGGCAAATCCGATACAATGGCATTTGTGATGTCAACATGACTAAGTATCAAAAACAGACCGTAAAGATATGGTGTAAAAGAGTTCAAGTGGTACATCTGTATAGGACATGAACAGACCTGAAAGACTGGAAGGTGCTCTGAGAGAATCAGTGAGAGGGGAGAGAATGTGAAGGCCTAGGACACTACTGCACACCATTGTGGACTTTGTTTTTGTTTTGTTTTTAATTTAACTGGTCCATATACTTTTTAAATTTTATTTATTTATTATTTATTTTTAAACATTTATTTATTTATTTATTTATTTGAAAGTCAGAGAGAATGGGAGGCAGAGAGAGAGAGAGGTCTTCCATCCGATGGTTCACTCCCAAGATGGCCGCAACGGCAGGAGCTATGCCAATCCAAAGCCAGGAGCCAGGAGCTTCTTCCCGATCTCCCACGTGGATGCAGGGGTCCAAGCACTTGGGCCATTATCTACTGCTTTCCCAGGCTATGGCACAGAGCTGCAGTGGAAGTGGAGTAGCTAGGTCTCAAACTTGCATCCATATGGGATGCCAGCACTGCAGGTGGCAACTTTACCCACTACACCACAGCGCCAACCCTACCACTGTGGACTTGGTAAATGCAGTACGACTAGGCTGCACTACATTTATTTATGTATTCATTATTTCTTTAAAGATTTATTTATTTATTTGAAAAACAGAGTGACAGTCAGAGACGGAGATATCCTCCATCTGCTGGTTGCCTCCCCAAATGCCAGGAACAGCCAGGGCTAGGCTGCACCAAAGCCAAGAGTCAGGAACTCCATTTAGGTCTCATACGTGGGAACAGGAATTGGGCCGTGCTCCATTGCCTCCTCCATGAGTTAGCAGGAAGCTGGATGGAAAGTGTGGAGCAGCCAGGATTCAAACCACACATTCCTGGTGGCTTCACCTGCTGCACCACACTGTCAGCCCCTAAATTTATTTATTTTTATTTCTTTCAATAATAAATTAACCTCAGCTTATTTTAATTTTCTTAGTTTATACATTTTTTATTTAAAAAGTTTTTGACTCTTATAAAAACACATAGCTTAAAATATTATTGTACAACTGTACAAGAAATATTTTTGAGGCCAGATTGCCACCTCAGAGACCAGCATTACATATGGGCCCCAAGTCATGTCTCAGCTACTCCATTTCTGATCCAGCTCATGGCCAATGGCCTGGAAAAAGCAGCAGAGGATGGTCCAAGTATTTGGGATCCTGCCATCCACGTGAGAGACCTAGGTGAAGCTCTTGGCTCCTGGGTTTGGTCAGCAGATGGAAGATCTCTCTCTCTCTCTCCCTCTCTCTCTATAATTCTGACTTTCAAATCAATAAATCTTTTTAAAATAAATAAAAATAAATTTTAAATCGCATTTTCTGCATGGCATTTACATATAAATATACAAGTCCCTTTTCATGTTGGTACAACAACTCTGTTAACTCACTGATTAATTACAGTAGTCTGTCTAGATATCTTTTGGATTGTCTATATCCACAATCATGTACACGAAAAACAGCAGCTTTATTTCTTCTGATCCAATTTTATAACTTTCATTTCTTTTTTCTTTCCTTATTTCCCTTGGCTAGGAACCTCTGATAAAATATATATATTTTTTTATTTGACAGGGTAGAGTTATAGACAGTGAGAGAGAGAGACAGAGAGAAAGGTCTTCCTTCCATTGGTTCACTCCCCAAATGGCGCTGCGCCAATCCGAAGCCAGGGGCCAGGTGCTTCTTCCTGGTCTCCCAAGCGGGTACAGAGGCCCAAGCACTTGGGCCATCCTCCACTGCCCTCCCGGGCCACAGCAGAGAGCTGGACTGGAAGAGGAGCAACTGGGACTAGAACCCGGTGCTCATATGGGATGTCGGTGCCGCAGGCGGAGGATTAACCAAATGAGCCAGGGCACCAGTCCCTATGATAAAATATTGAATATACATTTAATTCAAGCATTAAGCCCATGTCCACTGATCTTAGATTTAAATCTTTTTTATCTAGGGCCAGCACTGTGGCACAGTGGGTTAACACCCTGGCCTGAAGTGCCAGCATCCCATATAGGCGCCGGTTCGAGTCCCGGCTGCTCCTCTTCCGATCCAGCTCTCTGTTATGGCCTGGGAAAGCAGTAGAAGATGGCCCTAGTCCTTGGGCCCCTGCACCCACTTGGGAGACCTGGAAGAAGCTCCTGGCTCCTGCTTCGGATCAGCGCAGCTCCGGCCGTTACGGCCAATTGGGGAGTAAACCAGCGGATGGAAGACCTCTCTCTCTCTCTCTCTGCCTCTCCTTTCTCTATTTCAAATAAATAAAATCTTTTTTAAAAAATATTTTTCTTCTTAAATCTGCTTTTATTATTATTTCCTATATAATATCCCATTTTTTTCTTCTTTCTTGCCCTATGAACTCTGTTTTAGTATACCATATTTCCTTTTTAATCAGCTTGGTAGTTACAGAATTTTTTTCATATTCTTTAGAGGTAACAGATTACATCAAGATTTTCTGACCTATCAATGTCTAAAATTACTTATTAATGTTGCAGCCACTGAGGGAGTGAGAACCAGTATATGGAAGACACTTTCTTTCTCTTTCTCTCCCAAATAAATAATCTTTAAAAATAAAATAAAATTACTTGTTATTTTCAACTTTTTCATAAATAATGCAAGGTCTTTAGAAATTAACTCCATTTACATCCCTCATAATCCATTCTATGAAGTTGAAATTACCCTGATACCAAAACCAGACAAGAAAATAAAACAAGAAACCAATATTCCTTAAGAATTTCAGGCAAAAATAAACTGAATAAAAATATTAGCAAACTGAATCCACACCATATAAAAGGATTATGCACCATGACCAAATGAGACTTATCCCAGGAGTGCAATATTAGTTTAACATCCAAAAATTCAATGTAATTGCTATAGACTGAAACTGTATACCCTCAAAATTCATATGTTGAGGTTCTAACCCCTAATGTGACTATACATGGAGATAGGGCTTTAGGAGGCAATTAAGATTACATGAAGCTGGGGTGGGCATTTTCAAAGAATATTAATTTATTTGAAGAGTTAGACAGGACCGGCGCTGTGGCATAGTGGGTTAAGCCTCCACCTGCAGCGCTGGCATCCCATATAGGAGCCGGTTCTAGTCCTGACTGCTCCTCTTCCAATCCAGCTCTCTACTACAGCCTGGAAAAGCAGTAGAAGATGGCCAAACATGTGGGCCCCTTCATCTGTGCGGGAGACCCAGAGGAGGCTCCTGTCTCCTAGCTTCTGGCTTCAGATTGGCCCAGCTCCAGCCGTTGCAGCCAACTGGAGAGTGAACCAGCAGATGGAAGGCCTTTCTCTCTGTCTCTCCCTCTCTCTGTCTGTAACTCTAACTCTCAAATAAATAAATCAAATCTTACAGAAAAAAAAAAAAAAGAAAGAGAGAGGGAGAGACAGAAAGAGAGGTCTTCCATCCACTGGTTCATTTCCCAGGTGACTTCAACGGACAGCACTGGACTAGGCTGAAACAAGGCCCAAACACATGGGCTATCTTCTGATGCTTTTCCTAGGCCAAGAGCAGGGAGCTGGATTGCAAGCGGGGCAGCCAGAACAGGAACTGGTACCCATATGGGATGCCAGCATTATTACACCAGAACACCAGCCCCTGGGGTGGGCATTTAGCTTAACAGGAAGATGTTGGTTAATATGCTCATCTCCCATATCAAATGCCTTGGTTTGATATTCAGCTCCGGCTCTGGCTCCTGACTTCAGCTTCCTGCTAATGCATACACTAGGAGACAGTGGTGACGGCCCTGTCACCCAGGTGGAGACCTGGACTGCAATCCTGGATACTGACTTTGGCCCCAGCTGCTACAGCCATTTAAGGGGTAAACCAATAGATGGTAGTTTCTCTCTCTCTCTCTCACTCTCTCTCTCCCTTCCTATGTCTCTCAAATAAATGAATAAATGTTAAAAGGTAAAAGATTAATGGAAGTCATAAAAGTCCTGTTAGGATTGGTGGCCTTACAAGAAAAAGGATGAGATTTCCCTCCCTCCATCAAGTGAGGACATAATGAGGAGGTAATCATCCACAAGCCAGAAAGAGGGCCTTCATCAGGTACTGAACCAGTTGGCATCTTGAGCTCCAACTTCATAGTGCCTTCAGAATTATGACAAGTAAGTTTCTACTGATTAAGCCTAGTCCATGGTCTTTTATTATGGCAACCTGAGCTAACCAATACAGCAATATACTAGCATTAATAGACAAGGAAAAGAACACATAAGTATCTAATAGAGAAAGGCATTTGACAAAAAGCCTGTATCCTTTTGTAACTAAACACTCAAGAAACTAAGAATAGAAAGTTACTTCTTCAACCCTATAATGTCATGTGTTGAAAATTCACAACCAATATAGTTATTAGTAAAAGAAAGTTTTCTCCCTAAATTCAAGAATAAGACAAAGATGTCTATTCTTACTACTTGTATTCTCATCACTGATGACACTAGAAGTTGTAGCAAAGGTGATTAGGAAAGAAAAAGAAATAAAGGTATCCAGAATGTAAAAGTAAAACTGTTTGAATATGACATGATCTTAGGTATACAAAAATCTTAAGGAATCTACAAAGAAACTATTAGAGCTAATAAACAAGTTCAGCAAAATGATATGGGACCGATATTTTAAAAATCTATTGTACACTAGCAACAAACAATCAAAGATGAATTTAAGAAAACAATCCATTTACAATAGTACCAAAAAGAGTAAAATATTTAGGAATAAATTTTACAAAAAATGTCTAAGACTTATATATTGAAAACTATAAAATACTGTTGGAAGATTTTAAAGAATTGAGTTCTACATAAATGGAAATATATATTCCCTGTTAATGAATAGGAAGATCTGTTAGTAAGGTATATATTCTCCAAATTTGTCTACAGATTCATCACAGCTTCCCTTCTGCAGCAATTGATAAGATTATACTAAAATTCATCTGAAAACACAAGGGATCCAGAATAGCCAAAACAGTCTTGAAAAAGAGAAACAAAGCTGAAGAACTCAAACTTCCTAAGTTGAAAACTTAGTATAAATCTACAGACTCAAAACTGGCATTAAGACAGATGTATAGATGAATAGAATTGAAAGTAGAGAAATAAACTCTTACATTTATGGTCAATTAATTTTCAATAGGAATGTCAAGACAATTCAAGAAGAAAGGACAGCTCCTCAGAAGAATTAAACACAAAGCAATATTGACACTAATTCCACTCCAACATATAAACTCAACAGAACTGAAAACACATGTCCACAAGATAACTTACACACAAATGTCCATAGATGAATTTAAAAAAAAAAAATTGGTGCTGGACTACTGAATATCACATGCAAAAAATAAAACTGGACCCCTATCCCATACCATTTACAAAAACTAACACGAAATGGATCAAAGACATAAATGTAAAAGCAACTATAAAACTCTTATAGGAAAACACAGACATAAATCTTCACATCCTTGGATTAGCAGACCCTTCTGACACCAACACAAGCAACAAAAGGAAAAAAACATATATATGTACATATACACACATATATAAACATATATGTATACTTATAGCAAAATTTAAAACTTTTGTACATCAAAACATACTATCAATAAAGTGGAAAGACTACCCATTGAAGGGAAGAAAGTATTTGCAAATCATATCTTTGATAAAGGTATAGTATTCAGAATATATAAATACTTACAATTCAACAATAAAAAGAAGAAACTCAGTTTAAAAATGGGCAAAGATCTGTACAGGTATTCCTCTAAAGGAGATATACACATGGCCAATAAGCACATGGAAAGATAATGCCATTAATAATTCAGGAACTACAAATCAAAGCTACAATGAGATGCTACGTCATAGCTGCTAAACAATAACTCATTAGATAATAGGAAGTTCTGGAAAGGATGCAGAGAAATGGGAATCCTCACACAGTGCTGTTGGAAACATAAAATAATAGTTACTTTGAAAAACAGTGAGGCAGCTCCTCAGAAGAATTAAACACAGAGCAATACTGACACTAATTCCACTCCAACATATAAACTCAACAGAACTGAAAACACATGTCCACAAGATAACTTACACACAAATGTCCATAGAGGAATTTTTCATAACAGCAAAAATGTAAAAACAACCCAAACCCCCATCAACTGTTGAATGAATAAGCAAAATGTGGTATATCATTCAATGAAATATTATTCATCCATAAAAAGGAAGACAATGGTAATACATGCTGAAACATGGATGAACCTTGACAATATTATACTAAATCAAAGAAGCCAGACACAGTCAAATAGGATATGATTCCATTTATGTGAAATATTCAGGGTCTACAGAGTCAGAAAGTAGATTCATGGTGGCCAGCGTCTGGGATAGAAAGGAATAGGGAGACTTCATGCTTAACGGGATCAAGATTCCCTTTTAAGGAGATGGAAATGTTCTGAAATTAGACAGTGGTAATAGCTGTATCACTTTGTGAACATAACAATAATCATAATAATAATCCAAAGCTCCTGGCTTCGGATTGGTGCAGCGCGCTGGCCGTAGCGGCCATTTGGGGGGTAAATCAATGGAAAAGGAAGACCTTTCTCTCTGTCTGTCTCTCTCTCTCTGTCTAACTCTGCCTGTCAAAAAATAAAAGGAAAAAGAAACATGGTTTTGTTCATGTTCACATCCCTAGAATCTTAAATAGCCTCTGCCAACTAATATACCGAAATATCTGTTCAATAAATGGATTCAATAAAATGTCAAAGAACAGAGAGGCACGGTTAAGGTCCTTTGCGGCATTATCACGCAAGAGGAAGTGCTCACCTGTTCCAGGTTAGTGTACTGCACTCGGCAGTAGCTGCAATAGCCTTGCTTCCGCTGCATCTTGAATAGTCAAAGTCCGTGAATACTCAAACTGCCAAAAGAAGAAAAATGGCCAAAATGACAAGGATTCCTTATGGACGTGAGAAAGATGGCTTTGATAAATATTGGAAAGCAAAAATGTACTCCTGAGTCCTACTCACTCTTATTTCTAAACTAATTAGGAAACCATAAAATAGCCATGAGCTACTGAGTCGATCAGCAAATCCCAAATAGAGATGAAATGACTCAGCTTCCGAAAGAGCAGTTCGTTGCCAAAAACTGAAGGCCAGATGCTTAAATTTCTTATCGATTTTCTCACAACTCATAATTAAGAATTAGGAATTGATTCAGTAACAAATAATACTCAATTTGTACAAATTACTACTTCTAAAATATTACTATAGTATATTTACCATACTCCAATGGAGTCTATTAATTAATTTTACCACCATGTTTCTATATAAAACCCCAGATTATTTGAACTCTCCATGTCATTTATAATAACGACTAATTCTCTGTCAGGAGAGTAAAGATACCACATGGCATGTTCTGATTAACTCACAGAGAGGCAGATTTTAAAAAAAATTTGCTAAAAATCAAAACAACTAATTTAGATTCTGAAACACAAGCCATTTTCCTCTTGAGAAGTATATAATGCAAACAAATATGAGAAATTATTTCTTACTGGAGCTTTGAGATTCCTACAAATAGTTACCTAGGCTCCACTCCCCTAAAACAAAAGTGCCTCAACATTATGTACAACACCAGTTTCCAAAACAGGCTGAATACCAAAATCACTTCCCAAAAATCTGAGTTAGTAGAGCTGAGCTAGAGCCCAGGATTCAGAATTTTTTAAGTTCCCTAGGTATTTGGATGCACCATCAATTTATGAGCTGACACAATGTATGTACAGTTATGGTTATTTTAAGTAAAGAATGCGGGGTTTTTTAAACTGAAAATAGAAATTACAAATAATTTTGTCCAATTTTTATTCAAATTAAACATTCTTATGTTACAACATTTTTAACAGAATCTATGATGTGCTTATAAGTACTTCTGAATAAAAAGATTATTCTGCAATGAAAAAAGTTAAACTCACGAATGAAACTATAGCCTTAAGACCAATTAGATGAGACTATAAAAGCTTCATTAACTCAAAATGCCATCATAGTGTTTACTCACCTATTAACTTTTTATTCAGGATCTTTGATTTTCTGACTTCACATTTATGGGGAAAATAAATCAACTGAAGCAACTTCTGAAACAAAGAGCACATAAGAAATTACTTATTTAAAAATTGTGTCTTTTTTCCATTAATTTACTTCCTCTATTAACCTAAAGCAACAAAACAAAACAAAGCTTCTTAGTTTAAGTTGAACATGTAGATAAGGTAATGTTTAAACTAAGAGAACCCTTGAGCTTTAACCTAAATTTGAAAGTCATAACATATCAAACATTTTAGTGACTCACTGAAAATGTAATTAAAACAGTCAACAAATGAAAGCCAAAATGAGAGCCAGCACCGTGGCACAGAGGTTAAGCCTCTGCCTGCAGAGCCAGCAGCCCACATGGGTATTGGTTTGAGTCCCAGCTGCTCCACTTCTAATCCAGCTCCCAACTACTGTACCTGGGAAAAACAGAAAGATGGCCCAAGTTTTTGGGACTCTGTACCCATGTGGGAGACCCAAAAGAAGCTCCCGGCTCCTGGCTTCAGTGTGGCCCAGCCCCAGCTGTTTGGGCCGTTTAGGAAGTAATCCAGCATGTGGAAGCTCAGTCTCTCTCTCTCTTTCTCTCCCCTTCTCGCTCTGTATCTCTGCCTTTCAAATAAATAAATAAATCTTTAAAAAAAATAAAACGAAGTCAAAATTAAAGTATGAGTCTGATCGTACACACACAAAACTAAATACTTCAAATGTCTTTTAAATTTTAGCCCTTATGGCCATTTATCCCTGTCTCATTTTCACCAGCCATTCCACTATCTCTAGTGCCACAATGACGAGTCAGTGAGTCAGAAATGTTTGCTGTCATTTTAAAAAACTCACACACCAGAACCCCAGCCAAAATTTACCAATCAATCAAAATACCCTTGGGTGGGTTGAGGGAGGCCCAGGCACATAAATATTTTTGGTTGTTTGAAAATCAGCAAAACAGAGAAACACAGAAAGAGAGCTTCCTCCACTGATTTCATTTTCCAAATGCCCACAACAATGCTTACTAGGCCAGACCAAAGCCAGGAATCTGGAATTCATGGAGTTGACAAGGTCTCAAGAACTTGAGCCATTACCTGCTGCCTCCCAGGATACACATTAGCAAGAAGCTTGAATAGGGAGCAGGACTGGGACTTATACCAAGCACTCCAACATATGATGTAGGCACCCCAAACAGCAACTTATCCACTGTGCCAAGTGGATGCCCCATATTATGCATACTTTTAATTGACACATAATAAATGTATATATTTATGGGGTATAGTGTGACATTTCAGTAAATGTACATAATATGTAATGACCAAATCGGGGTAACTGCTATTTCTCATATATTTTTCATTTGTTTTTATCAGCAACATTCAAAATCCTCTCTCCTAGTTGTTTAGAAATATTCAAATAATTGCTGTCAATCATGGTTGTCCTACTGTACCTCCTAGAATACTATGTTATTTCTGGGGCAGCTGTTTGGCACAGCCATTAAGACACTGCTTTGGGTGCCAGCGCTGTAGCATAGTGGGTAAATCCACCGCCTGCAGTGCCGGCATTCCCATATGAGTGCCGGTTCAAGTCCTGGCTGCTCTACTTCCAATCCAGCTCTCTGCTATGGTCTGGGAAAGCAGCAGAAAATGGCCCAAGTCCTTGGCCCCTTGCACCCATGTGGGAGACCCAGAAGAAACTCCTGGCTCCTGGCTTCAGACCAGCACAGCTCTGGCCATCTGGGAAGTGAACCAGCAGACAGAAGATCTCTCTCTCTCTCTCTCTCTCTCTCTAATTCTGACTTTCAAATAAATAAATAAATCTTAAAAAAAAAAAAAAAAAAGGACACTGCTCTGGATGCCTGCATCCCATATAGGAGTGCCTGATTCAAGGACCAGCTACTTCCAATCGTTTCCTGCCAATGCATGCCCTGGGAGGTAGCAGATCATGGGTCAGTTATTTGGATCTGGGCCACCCATGTGGTAAATCCAAATTGAGTTTCAGGCTTGTGGCTTCAGCTTGGTCAAGCTCTAGCTGTTGCAGACATTTGGGGAGAGAACCAGCACATCAAAGCTCTCTCTCTCACCCTCCTACCCAACGGCAAACTCTCACCTGCTAACCATCCTCTCTTCATCCCGCCACTCCATGTATTTCACAGGCCCTAGTAACCATGATTCTATTTTTTACTTCTATTAGCCTTTCCATATAAGTGAGAACATGTGTTATTTTTCTGTGCATGACAAATTTATCTCACTTAACATAATGTCCTTCAGTTCCATCCATGTTGCTGTAAATGACAGAACTACATTTTGGGGGCCAGCATCGTGGTGCAGTGGTTTAAGTCACTGCCAGTGGCTCCGGCATCCCATGTAGGCAACAGTTCAAGTCCTGGATGCTCCACTTCTGATCCAGCTCCCTGCTAATGTGCCTGGAAAAGCAACAGAGGATGGCCCAAGTGCATGGCCTGTCACCCACATGGGAGACCCAGATGGGATTCCTGGCTTTGGTCTGGTCTAGCCCTGGCTGTTGCAGCCATTTGGGGAGTGAACCAGCAGACAGAAGATTCTCTCTCTCTCTCTTTCTCTCTCTCTCTCTCTAACTCGACCTTTCATATAAATAAAACATCTTAAAAAAAGAAACTCCATTGTCTTTTTAACAGCTGAATAATGTTCTATTGTGTATGTATACCACATTTTCTTTACCCACTTGTCTGTCATTGAACACCTAGGTTGAGCCCATATATTAGCTCTTTTGAACAATGCTATAATAAACATCTGAGTGCAAGTGGCTCTTCAGCATGCTGATTTCAATTCTTTTAGACAATCAAGGAAACTCCCGGAAGAATCATGCAAAATTGAATTAAAAGTGTGTGCTCACTTTGGTTCAAAACAGAATTTTTTCATAATACACATTTTCTACATATTCAGGGGGAAAAAGCACCAAAATAAACCCATAATTTTAACTCCATTTTTTCCACAAAATTTTTAAAATATATTTGAAAGGCAGAGTGACAGATTGGAAGAGACAAAGAGACAGAGAGACAGAGAGAGAGTGAGATAACTTTCACCCGTTGGTTCACTCTCCAAATGGCCACAATGCTTGGGGGTGGGGAACTCTAGCAGGGTCTCCCACATGGGTGGCAGAGTTTCACTGCCTTCCCAGGTCCATTAGCAGGGAACTAGATCAGAAGTGGAGCAGCCAGGACACAGAACCAGTGCTCCGTTAGGGAATGAAAATGTCACAAGAGGTAGCTTAACCCGCAGCACCATGCAAGCTTCCCCACAAACTTTTTGAAGTAACTTTATATTTTCAGTAACGGGACTGCTAGGCCACATGATAGTTCTATGTTGGGTTTTTTGAGGAACTTCCATAGTATTTTCCATAAAAACTGTTTGATTTTAAATTCCCACCACCAGTTTATAACCTTTCTCCCCACCCTCACTGCCATTTGCTATTGTTTCCTTTTTATGTTATTACCCCCACTTTTTTAAATTGTGGATATTTATGTGGTACTATATGATGTTTCATTACATGTACACCTTGCGTGGTAGCAAATCACAGCAAATCTATTTATCACTTCAGGCATTTCATGTTTCTTTACAGTGAAAGCATCCAAAACCCTGTGTTCCATTTTTTTAAAATAGAGAAGTAGACAGTACATTATCTATAGTCACCCTATTTGCAACAGAACCCCAGAATTTCATACTCCTATCTAGCTACAACCTAGAATCCGTCAATCAACCATCTCTGTCTCCACTTCCCTCCCCAGCCTCTGGTAGCCACCATTATATGAGGAGGTCATGTGATAGTTTGTCTTTCTGTGGTTGGTTTATTTCATATAACAAGATGACTTCCATTTCTATCCACGTTGTTGCAAACAATGTTTCATCTTTGCATGTCTGAATAGTATTCCACTAGGTATATGTACTACATGTTCTTTATCCATTCATCAGTGAATGGACACTTTGGTTGTTTCCATTTCTTGGCTGCTGTGGAAAGTGCTACAACAATCATGGGTATGCAGATGTCTCTTCAACAGAAATATTTCACTTCCCTTGGACATAAACCCAGGAGTGGGATTGCTGGATCATATGATAGTCCTATTTTTATTTTTTTGAGGAACCTCCATATTATTTTCCACAATGGCTGTACTAATTTGCATTTCCACCAACAGTGTAAATGGGTTCTCTTTTCTCCACATTTTCACCAACATTTATCTTTTGTCTTTTGATAAAAGTCAATCTTCCTGGAGTGAGGTGATATCTCACTGTGGTTTTGATTTGCATTCCCCTGATGATTACTTACTGATAAGGAGCATTTTTTCTGTACCAGTTGACAATTTATATATCTTCCTTTGAGAAATGTCCATGATCTACTGCCCATTTTTTTCTTTCTTCTTTTTCACTTTTTTTAAAACTTTTATTTTATAAATATAAATTTTGAAATGACAACCTTGGGATTGTAGCGGTTTTCCCCCCCCCATAACTTGCCTCCCATCTGCAAACCATCCCATCTCCTACTCCCTCTCTCATCCCATTCTTCACTAAGATTCATTTTTAATTATCTTTATATACAGAAGATCAACTTAGTATATACTAAGTAAAGATTTTAACAGTTTGCACTCACACAGACACACAAAGTATAAAGTACTGTTTGAGTATAGTTATATCGTTAATTCTCATAGTACAACACATTAAGGACAGAGATCCTACGTGGGGAATAAGTGCACAGTGACTCCCGTTGTTGATTTATTTATTTATTTATTTTTTGACAGGCAGAGTGGACAGTGAGAGAGACAGAGAGAAAGGTCTTCCTTTGCCGTTGGTTCACCCTCCAATGGCCGCTGCAGCTGGCGCACCGCGCTGATCCGATGGCAGGAGCCAGGTACTTATCCTGGTCTCCCATGGGGTGCAGGGCCCAAGGACTTGGGCCATCCTCCACTGCACTCCCTGGCCACAGCAGAGGGCTGGCCTGGAAGATGGGCAACCAGGACAGAAACCGGCGCCCCGACTGGGACTAGAACCCAGTGTGCTGGCGCCGCAAGGCGGAGGATTAGCCAGGATTAGACTAGTGA